CATGATCTCTGTTTTGCAGAGGAGAAACTTGAGACTCCCAGAGAGAGTCCCAGATGGGGACTACAGCGGGCTCTTTCTGCTAGGAGGTCACCTGAGTGTCTGTCCCGGGAAGGCCTGCAGCCCACCCTTGGCATGAGGTGCGGGCAAGGTGTGTCAGGGCTTCTGGAAGCCCCTCTCTAACTTCCCCATGCACCCACCTCCCCCTGCACCTGACCCTCCAAGCAGGGACCCCCTTTCTAGGGCTGTTGCTTTTTCCATTCCCAATCCCTTCCCATTTCAAATGTCTTCAGGAAGATGTTTCCTTTGCTGGGATTTTCCTGGGTGGGGTGAGGGCTCTCGCTGTCCCTCTGCTCAGCAGTCTCCCAGCTTCCGCTGGTTTTGTTTTGTTTTAAAACAAAGTCTCACTATGTAGTTCAGATTGGATTTGAACTCACTATGTAGCTCAAACACACAGTGATCCTCCTGCCTCAACCTCAAGCTCTGGGATTATAGGCGTGAACCACCATGCTGTGTGCTGCCGTCCTTGGGCAGAGTTCGCATTTCACCCAGAGTGTAATGGGGAGCCGCGGGAGGAGTCTGAGCAGGGGAGGCTCATGATGTGGTTCAATTTGGGGAAGATTGCTTTGGCTGCTCTGTGCAGAACGTAGCTGCTGGGGCATCATGAGGATGCTGCCCCAGAGATGAACGGCAGGAAGCAGTCACAGGGGTGTCCTGATGTAGGTCAGGTCGAGGGGGATGGAGCAGAATGGATGGATGGGAAAGGTGCTTAGGACAGACCACTGGCTGGAAATGGCAATGGCACCGGAAATGCCAATAGTGGGACCAGATGTGGTGGATGTACCTGCCTGTAATCCCAGCTCTTGAGAGGCCGAAGTAGGAGGATCACAAGTTAGAACCCTACCTGGGCAACATAGCGACTTAGTGAGACCCTGTCTCAAAATTAAAAAAAAAAAAAAAAAAAAAAAGCCCTGGATTCAATCCCCAGTACTGGGGGAAAAAAGCTAGAAAGAAAGAAAAAAAGAAAGAAAGCCCCTTCATTTAGGCTTGCTCTGTATTCAGGGCTCTGCCCAATACCTCTCTCCAGAGAGGCCTCCAGACAACCTCACGTGAGAGAATTGTTCTCCATCCGCTCACCCCGCAGCTGGTGTAACAGCTGACCACAGGCCTGGGTCTTCAAACAACTTACATTTATTCTCTCGCAGGACTAGGGGCCAGGATTCTGGAATCCAGGCTCCCTCTGAAGCTCCAGGGGAGGATGTGCTTCCTGCCTCTTTCTGCTTCCGGTGGCTCCTTGCCTCCCACCACAGGATCCCTGGCTCCATCTTCACAGGACCTTCTCACCTGTGTGACACAGCTCTCCCTCGCCTTGCCTCGCCTTGCCTTTCCCCTTCTCCTTCCCTTTCCTTTACCCTTCCTCCCTCCCTCCCTCTCTTCCTTCCTTCCTTCCTTCTCCCCATCCTCTTCCCTTTCCTCCCTCTCCTCTTTCTTTCCATTTATTTATTTTTATCTTTTCTTTCTTTTTTTTCATACCAAGGATTGAACCCAGAGCCTTTGCACAGAGCTGTATCCCCAGCCCTAGATTTATTTATTTATACGTTTAGGTTTTTTGAGGCAGCGTCTCTCTAAGTCATCATCCAGGCTGGCCTTGAACTCGTGGCAGTCCTCTTCCCTCAGCCTGAGTGCTGGTATTACAGGCATGTGCCACCACACCCAGCGCTTATTTTATTTTTTAACTTTAAGTAGGGTCTCACTAAATCACTAAATTGCCCAGGCTGGCCTCGAACTTGCAACCCTCCTGCCTCTGCGTGCTGAGGTTGCACACATGTGTGTGCCACCATGGCTGCTCCAGCTCTCTGGCTTGCTTCTTCCATATAAGGACATTTGTGGTTATGTTTAATTCCCACCAGGATAATCACAATCATCTCCCTAACACAGGATCCTCTTTGCTGTAGGAGGTGCCAGCTTCTGCAGATCAGGAAGTGGGATCTTTCTGGGGACCTCCACTCGCAAGCCACTCTGCTTCACTTCCTCGAAGCGTCACCCCACACTTTAGATCAGGTTCTGTCACGACCCTAAGGGATCTCCTCCCTTTCTCGAGAGCCAGGGTCCTGCCTGCCCTGCTTGCTACCTTGTCCTCAACGCCTAGACCGAGTCACTGGTGCCTGGGTTTAGAAAGTATTTGCTAACTGAGTGCTGAAGAAATGCAGGCAAGGCTTTCCTGAGGGTGTGGTGGGGAAGGTGTTCAGAGCCAGATCCACATGAAGAGTCTCCATGGATGCTGGCTTCCCTAGCAACCTGGAAGAACCACCTGTTACTCTGCAGCTGTTAAAGTTGGAAGCACTCAGGGTCGCTTCCTGTGAAGGTGTCGCCTGGAGCTGCCCAGGAGAAGCAGCCAGGGGCACATCAGCATCCCTAGCCAGAGGATCTGCCTTTTATCTGGGACTCGGAGGGCCTGGTGCTTTTGGTTTTCGAAGTTGCTTGGTCACCACCCCATGCAGATCCCAGGGGCTTGCAAAGGGAGTGTCACCTACTCCAGCTGGTCTTCGCTTAATTTTTTGGAGGGAGGTTTGGTGTGTAGTTCAAGCTGGTCTTGAACTCACTATGTAGCCCAGGCTGGCCTCTGACTCCTGGTGATCCTCTTGCTTCCGCCTGCTGAGTGCTGAGGCTACAGGTGTTTGCCACTACACCTGGCCTGGATGTCTTTAATTTTTTTTAAAAAAATCTTTTCTTGTGGTGCTATGACCTCAGGGCCTTCTGCATGCTAGGCAAGTGTTCTACCACTGACCTACACCCCCAGCCCTTCTTATTTTTATTTTAATGAATTGATTCTGCAGTACTGGGACTCAAATGAGGGATACTCTACTACTGAGCTACATGACCAGCCCTTTTCATTTTCTTTTATTTGAGACAGGATCTCACTAAATTGCTCAGATTGCCCTTGATTTGCAGTCCTCCTGCCTCAGTCTCTCCAGTAGCTAGGACGACAGGCGTGAATCACCATGCCTGGCTAAAGAGTTTTGTCCACTGTGGTGAAATTCACTGTGGAACTCGTGGTCAGTGTGCAGTTTGGTAGTGTTGAATACATCGATGTCACTGTGCAGCCATCACCACCATCCATCCCCAGAGCTGTTGCCATCTTGCAAAGCTGACACTTTGTCCCCACTGAACCCTCACTCCCCATTCCTCCTCCCCCAGTCCCAGTCCCCACTGTCTTTCTGCGTGGATTTGCTGACTCTAGGAACCTCATATAAATGGGATCACACCAGCTGGGCATGGTGGAACACGCTGGCCTTGAATTCACTCAGGCTGACCTCGAACTCGAGGCGATCCTCCTGCCTCATCCTCCTGAGTTCTGGGACAGACATGCACCACCATGCTTGGCTCCGACAGGGTCTTAATAAGTTATTAAATTGCCAAGACTGGGCTCAAACCTGTGATCCTCCTGCCTCAGCCTTCCAGAGTGCTGGGATTATACAAGTGTGCCACTGCATCTGGTCCCTTTTTAAGGCTGAATAATGTTCTATTGAATGGATACATCACATTTTGCTAATCCATTCATCTGTGGATAGATACTTGGGTTACTTTCACCTTTTGGCTATTGTAAATTGTTCTGCTCTGAACTTGTACAAATATCTCTTTGAGATCTCCTTTTTATTTTGGGGGTACATACACAAAGGTAGAGTTGTTGGATCATATGATAATTCTATGTTTAATTTTTGTTTTTTTTAGGTAGGGTCTCACTAAGTTGCCCAGGCTGACCCCAAACATGTGATTCTGCTCCCTCAGCCTCCCTAGTGCTGCAATTACAGGCCTGCACCACTATGCCTGGCCCTTGTGTTTAATTTTTAAAGGACTAGCTAATGTTTTCCACAGCAACTGTGCCATTTGACATCCGTATGGATCCTACACAGAGGTTCCAATTTCTTCACCCCCTCACTAAAACTTTTTTCTTTCTTTCTTTCTTTTTTTTTTTTTTTGGCAGTTCTGAGGATTGAACCCAGGGCCTTGCACATGGTAGGCAAGTGCTCTCTCTGCCACTGACTATACACCTCAGCTCTTTTAATTTTTTATTTGAAAAAAATTTTTAATTTTGAGACAGGGTCTTGTTACATTGCCCAGGCTGGGCTTGTACTTGTGATCCTCCTGCCTGAGTCTCCTGAGTAGCTGGGATTACAGGCCAGTGCCATTCTTTTTGTTTTGTTTTAAGTAGCAGCCATCCTAGTGAGTGTTCATGGAGTCTGTCTCATAGTCAGACCCTCTATCCTGACTGGGATCTCTGAATTTGGTGATGAATCAGCCAGCTGATCTCCTAGGATGTGGTAACCAAGGGAAATTTTGCTTCTGTCTTGATAATTGACTGGGGGAAGATGCAGTGAATCCAAGCTCTTAGCATCAGGGGATGGGTGGTACTGAGGACTCAGGCAAAGCCTGGAAGGCAGGGGTTCCTGTGGCTGTGTTGCCAAGGAGGTAGGAGCATGGGGGAAGCCTTGACTAAGTAGGGTTGGGTAGCTGAGAGAGAAGAGGGAGGGACCCAGCCACTTTTAAGCATCTCCATGGGGGCTGGGACATAGCTGTCATCCCAGCACTTGGGAGGCTGAGGCAGGAGGATCACTGTGAGTTCCAGGCCAGCCTGGGTTACATAGTGAGTTCAAGGCCAGTTTGAGCTACATAGTGACATCTTGTCTCAAAAAACCAAAAAAAGAATCTCCTTGGGGTTATCTGGGAATCATGGGCCTGGAAAGTGAGGGTGACAGGACTGAGGTGGGGCCCTTGGAGGGAGGTGCTCAGGGACCTTGGCCAGCTCCTGTCTCCTCTGAAGAAAGGAACTGAGTCTGCACAGAACGCTAGGACCTACTTCTGGGGGCTGGTGTGATATTCCTGGGGATGAGGGTTTCATGGTTCAGAGTGCAGTGAGCAGCATGCTGAATACTTCGCTCTGCTCACTGCTTTATTTACGGTACTATTTTGGTTCCTTCAGAAGCTGACCCTCGAAGAAGGATTTGGATGCCGGGAACGCGTTTGAAAAGCAATTGCAGAAACTACCAGTAAGGACCAAGGAACTTAAAAGAACTGAGAACAGGTACTCAGACCAACACATGTGCACACACATTCAGGGTAGCCTATTTCACAACAGTCCGAAGGCAGAGATGGCCCAAGTGGCCATCAACAGAGGAATGGATCAGCCTATCCATGCCGTGGAATATTACTCAGCAACAGAAGGAACAAAACACTGATCCTTACCAAAGCCTGGGCGCAGCTCGTAAGCATTAAACTGGGTCAAAGAAGCTGGATACAAAAGGCCACAGAGAAACCGGGTGTGGTGGCGCACACCTGTAATCCCAGCACTCGAGAGGTCCAGGCAGGAGAATCACAAGTTCAAGGCCAGCTTGGGCAACTTAGTGAGATGCTGTCTCAGAATAAAATATTAAAAGGGCTGGGGTGTAGCTCAATGGTAAAGCACACCTGGGTTCCATCCCTTAAAAAAATAAAGGGTGCCTTGCAAACGTCACAGCTGAGGGGACAGAATGGGTGCTGGCTGAGGCCATGGCTGGGGGATGAATCAGGACCATCTGGTGTGTCTGGCACTGGCACCTGCTGCGTGTCAGGCCCGCCGTGCTGGACCCCGTGGGTCCTCCAGGGTTTGGCACATGCGTGGCTGGTAGCAGGGCCCCCCAGCACTCATCCCTCCCTACTGTGTCCCCTAGGATGCTGCCCATCACAGACCACCTGCTGCACTTCCTGGGCCTGGAAAAGACAGCGTTCCGCGCCTACGCAGTGTCCGCCCTCCTCCTCTCTCTGCTCTTCTCCTTCTTCCGCTTGATGCTGCGGTTCCTTCGAATCTGCTGGGCCTTCCACAACACCTGCCGCCGCCTGCACTGCTTCCCTCAGCCACCGAGGAACAACTGGCTGATGGGTCACTTGGGCATGGTGAGTGTGGTGGGCCAGCGCTGGGCAGGTGCTGGGCTGCAGGGGATGGGGCTCGCTGGTGTCCAAGAATCTGCTTGGGGTCACGCGTGGATCCTTTGTGGTTGTTTTTATTTTAGAAACAGGGTCTCAATTTGTAGTTCAGGCTGGCCTGAACTCATTATGTAGCCCAGGCTGCTAGAACTCATCAAGAACTTCCTGCCTCAGCCCCCTGAATGATGGGATTATAGGTGTGTGGCACCATGCCAGGCTGCATTTCATTTTTTAAACAGTTTTTATTAGTATATGTTTGTAATACGTAATAATTACATTCAACTTGGGAATTTGAGATATATATCTATATATCTATATCTATATATCTATATATAGATATATAGATAAAGATATAGATATATAGATATATATAGATAGATAGATAGATTCCATCTTGATCATTTTAACTACTCCTTCCCCCCCATCTCCCATCTCTTCCTCCTTCCCCAGGTCCCCTTCCCATGCATTTTATTTTGTTTTTGTTTTTGAGACAGGGTCTCACTATGTAGTCCAGGCTGCCCTTGAATTCACAGCAATCCTCCTGTCTCAGCTTCCCAAGTGCTGGGATTACAGGCATGCGCCACTACATCCAGATCCATTTCATTATTAAAAATGCATATGTGCCAATTATAATTCCAGGCAAATATTCACTCATCCCATCCTCTTGACAATTCTGGGAGGTATGACTGTTCCCACTGGGACCTGAGACTACAGAGGCATGGGGAGGTCGAGTAGCAGGCCCTAGGCCATACAGCATTTACGTAGCTAAGCCAGGGTTCAAACCCAGGCTGGCTGCCTCTCTCCCCTTAGCTGTACCCGCTGCCACCTCTGGTTTTTAGATGAGATGGGGAGACTTTCCCCAAAGGCATCCAGAGGTCAGAGAAAATCCAGATGCTGAGGTGGGGAGGCTTGGCTGACTTGGGTTCCAGCCTCTGCTGTCTGCTGGCCTCACCTGATGCCTCCCAGGCCTCAGTGAAATTCAGGGTCAGTTGCTGGAGGCTTCATTGGCCCAGATCTCTCCGTGAGCTTTGAGGTGACCTTTAGAGAAGCAGATGGGGGCAGTGGTCATCTGCTTGAGTTTTGGAGCCCTGAGGTTCGAGACCTGCCTCTACCATGTACTGCTTGTGTGACTTTTTTGGGGGGAGGATGGAACCCAGAGCCCCTGCTTGAACCACATCCCCAGCCCTTTTAAAATTTTGAGACAAGGTCTTGTCAAGTTGCCCAGGCTGGGCCTGTTGTACCATGCCTGGACTGTTTGGTGTTACCTTCAGCCAACTGTTAGCCTCCCTGTGCTTGTCTCCCCTCTTGCCTGTAACGGTTCTTGATAATATCACGGGACTGTTTTTGGATTCCTTGGAATCACACTTGTCATGGGTTTGGCATTCACTGAGTCTGGTATACAGGTGAAGAATGTGTGTGCTCCACTGCTGGCTTCCACAGAAATCAAAAGATTGGGTGATTTTAGAAATATTTTAAGTATTGTTTGGGTTGGGTTGAGTTTCTCAGAAGGAATAAGACACAGATTCCCACATACTGGCTAAAGGAACTTTTGTTTTTGTTTTTGTGGTGCTAGAGATGGGGCCCAGGGCCTCTTGCATGCTAGGCAAGTGTTCTACCACTGAACCATGTCTCCAGTCCTGTGCCCTTTCATATAAGGGACTTAAACATCCTCAGATTTTGGTTATCCACGGGGGAGGATAATGGAGCCAATCCTCTGGATACTGAGGGAGGCCTATACCAAAGACTGGGTGGCTGAAGCAACAGAAATGTGTTCTTTCCCAATCCTGGAGGCCAGAAGTCTAAGATCAACCTACGGGGTTGAGCTCTTCTAAGGGTTCCTACCGCGACCCTCCCGGGCTGTCCACCACCAGAGAATGGCTGGTGTTCAAGGTCCTTTTTTCTCTTACCCTAACCTGTCTCACCAGCTCGGCCACCCTTGTCCAGTTCCAAGGATTGGCTTCCCACTTCCATGGCAGGGCTCCAACTTGCCATCTCCATGGCCTTTGCCAAGCTGTGCCTTTTGTCCAGAATATTCTTCCCTGGTAGATGAACTCAATCTTCATGCCCCACCTCCAGTGTCCTTACTCCAGGAAGCTCTCCCTGGATGTGATGGTGGTTTTAGAGGCAGCTACCAAGCTCTAGTGCCCTGGGCAGTTGCCTGCAGCCCAGCCTTGGCATTGTGGGTCCAGGCCATCTTCTAATCCCAGGAGGTCTGGGTGAGGCCACAATTTTCCTTGGGTGTGGACAGGCTCAGGACCACACCTGGTAGAGAAGGAGATGCCATAGCCAGAGAGGAGACTTGTTCATTTATTCACGCAATAATTTTGGGGCCTTATTCCTGGCCAGGCATTGGGTTAGGCTCCTTTGTATCTGAGCCCTCCCTTTGTGAAATATTTCTGGAAGCCAGGTGTGGTTGTGCATATCTGTAATTCCAAAACTCTGGGAGATTTAGGCAAGAGGATTGCAAGTTCAAGCCCAACCTGAGCAACTGATCCCATTAAAAAAAAAATGGTAGTGGTAGAGGTGGGGACATAACTCAGTGGGAAGGTCCTGGGTTCAATCTCCAGTACTCACCCCCAAAGATGGAGCTATGCTATGTTATGGATTCCCTTTTATGAATTTGAGCTCAGAGAGATTAAGTAACTTACCCACAGTTTCATGGCTGCTAAGGGTGAGTGTGAACTCAGATTCATCGGACACAGAGCCTGGATCAGCCTTTCTGCTGCATCTAAGGGCATGATGGTCGAGAACACGAGTTTTGGGACTGGGTGGCATGTGCCCGGATCCTGGATTTGCTACTGTGGCAGTTGATGCCAGGGCCTGCCCACATCTTCTTGGCCCATTTCTGGGTGCTGTGGTGCCACTTCCAGCTGTGATGGCCCCACTTCCGGCTGTGAGCCCCCTACTTCCAGACACCAGCACCTGCATTCTAGGAGCTTCCCAGAGCTTAGGGCTTTTGAACCCCAGGAGCAGCCCTCAGCCGATGACTGCTGGGTGTTGGTGGATAAATACCCCAGCTCCCTCACCCTCAGGGGATTGACTCAGAGGTCCAGAGCCTGGCCCATCCTCCAAAACTCCCTTGTGGGGCCGAGCCTGGGGACCCCATAATGGTACCTACCCTTTCTTGGCTGCCTTCCCTTCCATCCTTATTCATGTTTTGGGGGTCATCTCCCCAGTAAACCGCCTGCCCTAGAAGCCTTATCTCAGGACCTGCTTCTGAGGGACCCCAAACAAGTACAGTTGCTCACTTACAGACCTTTCTGAGCACAACAGCAGCAAAGACCTCACTGGGTACATGTGGAATGGGTCAGTCTATGGGAAGTTCACACGGCTGTGCCCAACGCAGCCCAAGCACATGCAGATGTGAAGGTGATGGAACTCTATAGGTAGTTGTGCTGGGGATGGAACCCAGGGCCTCCTGCATGTTAGGCAAGCGCTCTCTCTCTCACTGGGGAACAGCCCCAGCCCTTCTTAAAATTTTGTTTTGAGAAGAAAAATTTTCGTTTTGAGATAGAGTCTCGCTAAATTGCTCTGGCCAGCCTTGATTTACAATCTACCTGACTCGCAACTAGCTGGGATTATAGGCATGTGCCACCAAGCTCCACTGATATTTATTTATTTTGGTTTTATGAGACAAGGTCTCACTATATAGCCCAGTCTGGCCTTGAACTCAAGGAGTCTTCCTGCTTCAGCCTCCTGAGTGCTGGGATTACAGGAACACATCACCATGCCTGACATCCATTTTTTAAACAGCAAGTTTTTGATAAATACCAACTCTTATCATTATTGAGTTTCCTATTACTAGTGTGTGTGTGTGTGTGTGTGTGTGTGTGTGTGTGTGTGTCTCAGGCTGGAACCCAGGGGCCAGGTAAGTACTCTGCCACTGAGCCATATCCCCAGGAAACTGCCTCTGCAAACCCCGTTTTCTTTGAGTGACAGGATTTTACTGTGTTGTCTAGGCCGGTCCAAGCGATCCTCCTGCTTCAGCCTCCCAAGTAGCTGGGACTGTAGGCATGTGACACCATGCCTGCCTTATCTTTATTTATTGAAGCAGCCATGTGTCAGGCCCCATGCTGGGCTCTTGCTTTCTGCACTGGTCCTCTGGGCTGCCCTCAGCGGAAGCACTGTTCCCCACTTCTCAGAGGAGGAAGTGAGTTGTAGCCAGCTGTGCGCCATCATTCAGCACTTCTGAGATTGTTTTAAGGCGAGGGGAGATGGCAGAAGGGAGCACGCAGGGAAGCTGGGCTGGGCACATCCTCACTGCCCCTACCTTCCCTCCACAGTATCTTCCAAATGAGAAGGGCCTTCAAGACGAGAAGAAGCTGCTGGATAAAATGCATGATGTGGTCCTGGTGTGGGCCGGGCCTGTTCTGCCACTATTGGTTCTGGTACACCCTGACTACATCAAGCCTGTGCTGAGTGCCTCAGGTAGGTGAGCTGAGCCTCTGAGCAACGACTAAAACCTCAAGTCCCACACTCTATCAGAGCTTCTAGTCAGGTGGGCTCTCCAGAAGAAGGGTCATTTCAGTCGGGCTTTGAGAAGTGAGCAGCAGTTCACCAAAGCAGGAATGGCAGTGCACGATACGGGAACAATGTGGATGACAGCGAGATAATGCCTAAGAGACCCGTGAACCCTGAGGGGCTGTCTACCTACACAGGAATCAGAGCCAAACATGTTCGGGTAGGTAGTCGTTCACCTAAGGTTACATTGAGGAGGTGTTGCTCAATCCCAGGTCACCGGACCCCTGTTCTTTGGGTTGTGATATTTCTGCCCTGACCCAGGCTCTTGGTGGCCCATCCTGCTGGCTGATTTAATGCTCCCTGCCTGGCCTGGAAGGAGATGTGGAAGGATTGCTCTTTTCTTCAGTCCACGCTTGACCCAACGTGTGGGACTTCCCAGGGTGCTTGGGAAGCTCTTACTCATCCTGCAAAACCCAGAGCCAGTGATCCCTTCTTCAAGGAGTCTTGCTGGACTCTGCCAACAGAACACAGCACTGTCCTCTGGACTGTCCCATCCTCCATGCTAACCTTCTGTCTCCCTTGCACATGGCCTTGGTGGAGCCGAGCACCTCAGAGGCTCAGGTAACACTGGAGAGCCGAGGGATGGGAAAGAAAAGGTTCCAGGAATTTTAGGGTGTCTGGGCCCAGCTTGGGCCTCTGCGAACTCGCATCTGGAGACCATCTTCTGGCTGTCACCCCGGGCTGCCGTCCCTTCTACCCCAGCTATGCTTCCCCTCTTCACCCATCATTGTGCTTTGCTTGAGTCAGGGTCTTGCTGTGTAGTCCAGGTTGGCCTCGAAGTCGAGGCAATCCTCCTGCCTCAGCCTCCAGGGTGCTGAGGTCACAGGTGTGTGGCTCTTGGTTAGTTTCTGATCTGCAGAATGGGAGCTGCTATGAAGGATGAATAATATAACGTGGGCGCTGGGATGCGACTCAGTGGTAGAGGGCTCCCCTGGCATATGCGAGACCCTGGGTCAATCCCCAGTGCTGCAAAACCAAACTAAAATGATGCAGTAGAGGTAGGTGCTAAAAATAAGCCTCCTTGGGCTGGGGATTGAGCTCAGTGGTTCTGCCACCTGCCTCGCAAGCGCAAAGACCCGAGTTCGATCTCCTCCTCTTTTTTTTTTTTGAGTACTGTGGATGGAGCCTGGGGTCACTGCACTGAGCTACATCCTCAGCCCTTTTTTATTTTTTATTTTGAGACAGGGTCACTTGAAGTTGTTAAGTTGTCCAAACTCGTCATCCTCCTGCTTCAGCCTCCCAGAGTGCTGGGATGACAGGTGTCTGCCACCACGCCTGTCTCCTTTTTCCTTTGTTTCTTCTACCTCCTTCCCCCTTTTCTTTCTCTTCCTCTTCTTCCTTTTCTTCTTCTCTTATTCCTCTTCCTCCTCCTCAGAACATGTTTCCTGAGCTTCATCCTGCCCGGTTGTGAATCTGCAAGCAGCGCCCCACCAGGCCTGGCCTTCCCTTCCCTCCTTCAGGGCAGGCAAGACCTCCGAGGCCTCTCGCACTGGAGGAGCCAGACCGGGAACTCTGGAGGGGAGTGGCTGGAGCTCTGAGTCAGTGCCGCCAAGCCTGTGGCCTCCACCCCTCACTGGGGCCTCCGGGGAGCCACACCTGTGTGACTGCTGCTCTGCCTGCACCGACAGGGCCATGGGTTCCAGGGAAAGCATGGGGCCCCTCGGAACCTCCGCCTCCTCTCTTATTGTCATTTGGGAGAAAATAGGTGAACGCTTCATGGAGGTTGAGTCATGATCTATAAGCATATAATTATGGTTTGTGTTTTATATGTTCTTTTTATTAATGTGAAATTCACATAACAGACAATTAATCATTTAAATGAACGTTCTCTGGTATTTGGAGTATTCACAATGCCGTGCAACCACCAAGCTTTCTCTAGTTTCTAGTTTTTTTTTTAGTCACCTCCTAAAATGCCCTGATCTGTGAGGTCCTCCCGGTCCATCTCCTGGTCACCTCTAACTGCTTTCTGTCTCTACGACCTGTGAGCTCTGGACGGCTTTTATCAATGGCCTCCAACCCCTCACAGCCTTTGGTGTCTGGCTTCTTGGCATCTCCAAGGCTTGCCTGCCCTGAGGTTCCTTTCACGGCTGAGGGATACAGCATTGTATGGAGGAATCAGGGTTTGAGTAGCCATTTGTCAACTGCCTTATGCCCATCTTTTTGCTGTTGTGAATACGCTACTAAGAACATTCATGCACAAGTTTTGGTGTGGCCCTATTTTTCTTTTTTGTTTTCATACTTTTCTTTGTTCTCTCTCTTGATTTCTTTTTTTTTTTTTGGTACCAGGGATTGAACTCGGGACCCTGCACTTGTGAGGCAGGTGGTGGCACCACTGAGCTAAATCCCTGGCCCTGTCTTGACTTTTTGAGACAGGGTCTCCCTATGTCTTTCAGGCTTTGGTCATGAACTTACTGTGTAGCCCAGGCTGGCCTCCAATTTGCTGTGATTCTCCTGCCTCAGCCTCCTGAGTGCTAGGATTACAGGTGTGCGCCACCGCACCTGGCTTTTGTCTTTTCTTTGCTTTGCTTTGTCTCTCTTTCTCCCACCCTGTGTTCCTTCTTTCCTTCCTTCCTTTTCCTGATGTGCTAGGGTTGGATCCCAGGACTTCCTGCATGCTAGAAGCAAGTGCTCTACCGCTGAGCTGTACCCCAAGACTCTATCTTTTCATTTTATGTGTGTGATACTTAGGAGTGGAATTGAGGGGTATATGGTAATTGTATATTGGCCTTTTTTTCCTTTTGGTGGTGGGTATGGAAACCAGGGCCTAGTGCAAGTTAAGCACATGCTCTACCATTGAGTTACATTTGCAGCCTTATGTTTGACTCTTCTTTGGAGATGGGGGTCTCCCTTAGTTACTACATTGGCCAGGGTGGGCTCAAACTTGCCATCCTACTGCCTTAGTCTCCCAGAGTTCAAGGATAACAGGTGTGTGCCATCACACCCAGGTTCTATTTGCCTTTCTAAGGGAGCCCCTGACAATTTTCCACAACTGCTCTGAATTCATTTATCACTAATAGAGGACCTGGATATTCATCTTTTTGGTGCCCATCAGCAATAATTATAATTACAGTAACAAAAGATCCAACAGTTGGTCATTTATCTGTTTATGTGGACACAGATTTAATGAGCATCTACCATGTGCCAGGAACATGTGAGCTTGTCTAGTCTTATAGGGATGTCATAAGGCACGATTGTTCTATTTCCTTTTTTGGAAGATAAAGAAAAGGAAAGGTAGAGTGGTAACTCTCTAAGTTTACCTCATAGTTAGAGGCGGCGCTGGGGTTGGATGCTTGACCAAACTGTCAGTCATAGCAATGTGCAGCTCCAAAGGGATCAGATGTTCCAAGTGAGGCCCTGAGTGGGGGCTTTTCTTATACCATCTCCTCTGGTTGCGATGCCGGCCCCTTTTGCTGGAGGGAGAAAGTGGTCAAAGAGGCAGCTTGGGCCCTGACTTTCCTGGAACTAAGAGTCAGGGCTAGAGTGGAGGAAGGAAGGATCAAGGATCTGAAGATGGGGTAACAAGGCTTCAGCTGGAGAGAGGGTTCAGAGAAGTCTTCCTGGAGGATGCATTAGTGAAGCTGGGCTTTGAAGGATGTGCAGGAGTTTGCTAGATTGAGGGACCTGTCAGTCCAATGGTGGAGATGTGGGAAAGTGTCAGGGGAATTTGGGTGACCTGGGTTGGCTGAAGTGGAGGTGATACATGTGTGGAAGTAGGAAATGAGACTGAGAGTTAAGCAGGAGCCAGACTGGAAAGCAAATGACCTTGTACTTTATCCTGGAGGTGATAGGGAGCCATAGGAGGTGTTGGAGCAGGGCAGCTGTTGATCAGATCTAGGTCTCAGAAAGGCTCCTGAGGAGACTTGCCTGGAGTCCAAAGCCTAGAGACTAAATGAGTGACTGCATCCCACCTTCTTTTCTAGCTTTGCCTCCTCCTGGAAGTCTCCTCTGATGTCTAGTTGTTCTTTCTCTTTGCTCCTTGAGCATCTGGCATACTTTCTACCTTCTTGATGATTGTACGTGTGCCTCTGCTTCCTTTTTCCACCCCACCCCACCCCACCCCACCCAGGAGCTCCTCCAGGAAGGGTGTGGAATGCGCCATCTCTGGGTCCTGAGCATCACCCAGCATGGGCTGGGCCCAGGAAGGACTGTCTTGGGTGGGAGGATGTTGGGACAGCTGACCGGACAGCTGACTGGGCACAGCGTTGGCCAATTCCTGGGGAGTGTGAGTGTGGAGGCAGCTGAATCACACTCAGGTATAAGTGATATCATTTGGGTTCCAATATGCTCCATTTAGGCCCAAATCTGTTCAGTTTATAGAAGTGGGATTCATCTCTCCATTCATCCATCTATCCATTCACCCATCCATCTATCCTTCCTTCCATCCATCTATCCATCCTTCCATCATTCATTTCATCTCCTCATCCTTTCATTCACCCATCCATCTACCCATCCATCCATCTACCTGGCATCACCTGTCCATCAGTCTTCTATCCATCCACCCATCCATCTTCCCATTTATCATCCATTATTTCTTCCATCCACCTATTCGCCCTTCTATCTGCCCACTCACCCTTCCATCCACCCCCCCATCCTTGCATCCATCCATGCATATCTATCTATCTATCCGTTTATCTACCCACCCATCCATTCACCCATCCATTCATCCTTCTATCCATCCATTCATTCACCTGTCCACTCATCCATCATCCATCCATTCATCCACCCATCTATCTACCCATCCACTGATCATCTATTCATTCATTCATTCATCCACCGTTGGATTGATCCATTTATTCAGCAAGTAACAATTTCTTTAGCATCAACTGATCAACATGGCCTCTTCCGTCAAAGGGCTTGTAACTGGATGGATACAACCTAGTGTGATGGATGCAGGAGGAAGCAGAGTCTAAGCTGAGCCCAGAAGATGAGGGTAGAATGTTTGGGGCAGAGATGGCAGCTCATGCAAAGACTTGGAGTAGAGAGGATGCATACATGGCTTTTTTGGAGGAGCCAAGAAAAGCCCTGTGATGCTGCTCCTGTGCTGTTGAGTGGAAAGGGCCACAGGACAGAGGTGTCTATCTTGAGAGAGGTCAGACCAGGGCCTCGAAAATGGGCTGAGCCACTGGCCTTTAGGGACAACTGGTGGGTGAGCTGGGAGGCACATGGTCGAGTCTGACAGTCAGATAAGATCTCCTGTGGCCAAGGTGATGCACAGACAGCGCGGGTGAGGCTGGAGGTGGAAAGCACAGGAGGTGTAATTCAGATGGCCTGTATTGGCAGAAAGCCAGAGGGGAGGACAGGGGATGACTCCATTCCATGTGGAGAAGCCTGCCTGTCCACAGAGCTGGAGGTGGGCAATGGCCAGAGATGAGAATGGAGTCATCTGGTGTGTGTTGAAGGATGGCACGGGAGATGCATGTGGGGTCCAGAGAGGGCAAGGCCTTCAGTGTTAGGCTGCCTGGCACTCTTGCCTGGCAGTCGTGAGCTGGGGAGCTGTTTCAGCTGGGGAAACTCATGCTGAGATCAGCATGTTATAAGGTTCTTTCGGGGGGCCGATATGGAGGATGAACTGGAGGGGCAGGGTGGGAGGCTGGCACACAGAGAAGAGTCAGAAGTCAGATGTACAAGTCAAGGGACACTGTCTTGTATTTTTTATTTTTTTGGTACTGGGGATCGAACTCAGGTCCTTGCACTTTTGGGGCAGGCAACTCTTGTATCTTTTTTTAAAAATTAAATTTATTGGTTCACCTTTGATAAACATAATGGTCACATTCATTCATCATAGGGAATTTGTACCTCTACATGATATATCTTGCTTTTTTTTTTTTTTCCGGTACTGGGGATCAAACTCAGGATCTTGTGCTTGTCAGGCAGGTGTGGTGCCCCTGAGCGACATCCCTGGCCCTTTGCTTCTTTTTTTCCCATTACCCCCCTCCCTTTGACCCTCTCTTCCTCTCCTTATTTATAAAAGCTTTGTTTCCATTTTTTCCCTTCTATTCTCTTTTTTTCCCCCTTCTTTCCCATCTCCCTCCCCTTTCCCTTGTACTCCTTCCCATTTGAACATTTTCTTCCTACTTCCCAATATCTACCATCCATTTTGGTCCTTATTTACTCTTTCAGTTTCTCACACAAGAGAAACAATGTGATATTTAAACATGTGTGTCTGATTTATTTCACTTGAAAGTATGCTCTCAAAGTGCATCCATTTACCTAAAAAGTCTCAAGTTTGTTCTTCTTTACAGCACAGTAGTACTCTATCATATATAAAAACCACATTTTCTTTATCCATTCATAAATTTATGGGTATCTGGGCTGTTTCCAAGGCTTAGCTATTACAAATTGTGCCGCTATAAACATGAGTGTGCATACATTGCTGTGCTATGATCCCTTTAACTCTTTTGGGAAGATACCTAGAAGGGGAATGGCTGAGTCAAGTGGAACCTCTAGCTTTAGTGTTTTTTTTTGTTTTTGTTTTTTTGTTTCTTGTTTTTTGTTTTTCTGGTACCAGGGATCGAACTTGGGACCTTGCGCTTTCGAGGCAGGCGCTGGAACCACTGAGCTAAATCCCTGGCCCTAGCTTTAGTTTTTTGAGGAAGCTCCATACTGAAAAGGATATTAGAAAATGGAAAGATGGCCCTTGTTCTTGGATAGTCAGAACCAATTAGTGAAAATGGCTATACGAGGGCTGGGGATTTAGCTCAGCGGTTTCGCTGCCTGCTGCGCAAACACAAGGACCCGAGTTTGATCCCCGGTACCAAAAAAAAAAAAAAAAAAGAAAGAAAGAAAATGGCTATACGTCCAAAAGTGTTATACAGATTTAATGCAATCCTGATAATGCCAACTGCATACCTCACAGAACTAGAGAAAGGAATCCTAAAATTCATTGGGAACCAGAAGAGACCTAGAATAACAAAAGCAATTCTTGATAACAAAGGCAAGGCAGGGGACTTCACAATCCCCAACTTGAAATCATACAAAAAGCTACTATGATAAAAACAGCATGGTACTGGTAACAAAACAAAACAAAACAGACCCAAGGATCAATGGAACAGAATAGAAGATAAAGAAACAACTCCAAACACCCTTAGCCACGTTATCTTTGACAAAGGGGCCAAACACTTTCACTGGAAGACAGATAGCCTCTTTAATCAACGGTGCTGGGAAAACTGGCTTTCCACATGCTGAAACTAAACCTAGACTCATATCTCTCACTATGCACTAAATTAAAATCCAAATGGATCAAAGATCTAAATATTAAAACAGAAATACTTAGTCTACTGGAAGACAGAATAGATAAAACTCTTGAAGACACAGGTGTAGGCAAAGACTTTATGAACAAAGGCCCAATCACACAGGAAATACTACAATGAATCAATAACTGAGATGACATCATATTAAAAAGCTTTTGCTGGCCAGTCCTGGTGTCTGAGTGATTCCCAGGGCCCAGCTAAGGGACAAAGTTTCCAGAGCCCTGAAGACAAGGGGTAACACACCAAAATATGGACTCATTTTCCTCTGCACCTTCATTGGCTGAGCAGCTTCCAAGAACAAAGGCCGCATCTCTCAATACCTGGCAAACAAGTGCAGTGTTGCCTGCAGAACTGATTGCTTCTCTGAGGTGCCCACCAGTGTATTTGGGGAGAAGCTTCGAGAACAAGTTGAGGAGCGCCTGTGCTTCTACGAGACTGGCAAGATTCCACGGAAGAATCTGGATGTCATGAAAGAGGCAATGGTTCAGGCAGAGGAAGCTGCTGCTGAAATAACCAGGAAGCTGGAGAAACAGGAAAAGAAGCACTTGAAGAAGGAAAAGAAGGGGCTGGCTGCACTGGCTGCTCTGGTATCTTCAGAAAATGGCAGTGCTCCCAAGGAGCATGAGGAGACACACGAAAAACCCCAAAAGAAGAAAAAGCCAAAGCTCCAGGAGGCTCCTCAGGAGGACAGAATGGATGATCCATATGTCTTGGTCTCCAGACCCAGGAAAAATAAATCTTTTTCCAAGGAAGAGTTGGTTAGTAGTGATCTGGAAGGGACAGCTGGTGGCAGCCTAAGTCCACCCAAGGGGAACAGGTCTTTGCCCAAGGAGGAAATGGCTAGTGAACCAGAAGAGGCAGCCAGCAGGGGTGTCCCCAAGAAAAAAAGAAAATTTTCTTCCAAGGAAGACCCAGTCGCCTGGGATTTAGCTCGAGTTTCGCCGCCTGCTGCGCAAGCGCCAAAAAAAAAAAAAAACAAAAACAAAGAAAAAGTATGGTTTGTGTTTTGGGCTGGGGATTTAGCTCAGTGGTTTCGCTGCCTGCTGTGCAAGCGCAAGGACTCAAGTTCAATCCCAGGTACC